GTATGTACTGTTACGTCGGTTCGCTTCTTCTTGCCTTAGAGTTTATTCTTTTATTCTAATCGTTGTCTTTGCTTTGCAGTCTTATCTGTTGGATGGAGAGCATCCGTCGAGCCAAGGTCCGCTCGGGGGATATTTTGCGGGTGCTGGAGAAGTATCGCCGTACCGAGATCAGTGCTGAGAGTTGCGCGTGCGCTTGAGGAATGATCCTCGCAGCCGGCCTTGGGCGAAGAGCTGGCGAGCGGAGCTTCAGATGCAGCAAAAAATATTGGTAGGACGAGTGCTCTCGAGGAGCAGCTCCGCCGAAAGGATGAGGAGCTCGAAGCGGTTAAAGAGGTCGCAGCTGAGTGCGAGCGCCGGGGCGAGGCCAAGGCGGCGGAACCACTGCGGCATGGAGCCGGAAAGTGACCGCGTTGGAGGTGAGGTCGCGGCATTGAAGCTTCAAGTGAGGGATGCTTCGTCCGAGGGCCGGCGTCGTTGGAGGACTATCGCGTGCACGAATCCCACGGGCATTGGAAAGGGATGCTGCGGCCTTTAGAGAAGCGAGTCTCGAGGAGCGGATTTGGTGTCTTTGAGCAGACGCCCAGGCCATGGCGGACCGGATCACAGCCTTAGAAGAAGAGAATCAGCGGCTATGGGATCAGGCCGCTTCTTCCAGCCAGGCTACGAAACTTTGGGTCTTTGCCGAGCCCAATGTGATGTATATAAGAGTTTGTGGGAGGCTGGCGTCGTGACCGAAGTTTGCTTCGAGGGGCGCGTCAGAAGGCTCGTGCAGGCACGTGCCGACTGTGTTTGACGCGGCACGCCAGGGCTGACGCTGGTGCAGATGATGGCGCAGACGGCACCAGTAGAAAGATGTCTGCGCATTTTTTCTTGTCTTGTTGCCGCTTGGCGTTTTAGGCGTTTCTTGTATTATTATTATTATTATTTTTTTTATTTCTTGTATGATCGGCTTTGCCGGGTGTAAGCGGGGATGACCCGTCATTGACTTTCTAAATATATAAAATTTTCTTTTCCATTGCCTGCCTTGTGCTTATTTTGATTGACCGTCGGCGTGGCGGCCCTAGTCGAATTTAGATCGACGGCCTTTAGTCGTGATGGAATCGCGGCCTTAGCCATAAAGGCAACTTCGACTGTCGTCAAATTGTTTACCCACCGCAGTCGAATCTAGGTCGACCGGGCCGCGATGGCCTTAGCCATGATATATTGATGGCCTTGCCATGTGCGACTTCGACTGTCGTCGAGTCGTTTACTCACCGTAGTCGAATCTAGGTCGACCATTTGTGGCGATGGCCTTAGACATAATATAATTGATGGCCTTGCTTTTTCAACTCGGTGTGGGCGAGTCTTAGCCGTTATTTGGCCGATTAGCGGCGCTTAGCCTTAGTCCCAGTTCGGGCCGGTCGAACTACCGGTCGTGATAGTAAAAAACGCGCCTCGTAGTTTGACCGGGCCGAACTTGTTACGTGCCCGAATCTTAATTCGAGTTGGGGAACTTACTTGAATGCGAGGGTGCCTATCCTGCCGCTTTGATTTGTTGAGTTGGGCTTTGCTTTCACAGATGAAGGCGTTTGGCCTGAGTCTAGGTTCAACTGTGGTTGAACTTGCTAAAGTTTGAGGACGAAGGCGTCCATCCTTGTAGTTCGACGAGGTTGAGCTCGTTGGATTCAATAGCCGAAGCGCATTAGCCTGAGTTCTAGGTTCGACCGTGGTGACCTTATTGGTGAGGACGCAGCGTCAGTCACGTTGACTTGTAAATTTGGTGCGCGAAGGCTAGTTCGTTGTTAACTGTGAACTGTTGGTAATGCGGCAGCCGTTTGTTCACTTATTAAACTTTTGCAGGGTATTGCTTTTTGGCGAAGGCAATGAGTGCCGGTTCACTGTCTGTTATCGATTTTGCGCGAGTGCCTGCCTATCGGTTCAACGTAGTTGAACTTTTCTGGTGAAGGCGCGTTAGCCTCGTCTTGGTTCAACCGTTAGTTGAACTTTTTGGCGAAGGACGATTAGCCTTGATTATAATGGCGAAGCCACATAGCCTGAGTTCCCGGTTTACAACTTTGTTGAACTTAGTCGATTTTGACGGCGAAGCTCATGGCCTGAGTCCCTGGTTCAACGTAGTGAACTTTTCTGGTAAGCTGCATAGCCTGTCTTGGTTCAACCGTAGTTTGATTTTGCGTATCGATTAATGGCGAAGCGCATAGCCTCAAGTTCCGGTTAACTGTTGTTAACTTAAGTCGATTTTGACGGCGAAGGTCGTGGCCCTGAGTCCGGTTCAACTGTAGTTGAACTTTTCTGCGTGAAGGCGCATAGCCTGTCTGGTTCAACCGTTTGAATTTTTGGCCGAAGAGCATAGCCTGAGTTCCGGTTTCAATGATTGTTGAAACTTAGTCGATTTTTTTGACGGCGAAGGCTCGTTGGCCTGAGTCCGCGCGTTTCAACTTAGTTTGAAACTTTCGGTGAAGGCGCATGCCTGTCTTGGTTCACCGTAGTTGAAACTTTTTGGCGAAGGCGCGCGATTATGGAAGGCGCCATTAGCCGAGTTCCGGGTTGCAAACTGTGGTGAACTTAGTCGATGTTTGAGCGAAGGCTCAGTGGCCTGAGGTCCCGGTTCAACTGTAGTTGACTTCTGTGAAGGCCATTAGCCTGTCTTGGCTTCAACGAGTTGAACTTTTTGTCGAAGGCGCATTTAGCCATGGATTAAGGCAAAGGCGCATAGCCTGAGTTCCGGTTCAACTGTTGTTGAACTTAGTCGATTTTGATGGCGAAGGCTCGATGGCCTGGTCCCGACGTTCAAAACTGTAGTTGAACTTTCTGGTGAAGGCGCATAGCCTGTCTTGGTTCAACCGTAGTTGAACTTTTTGGCGAAGGCGCATAGCCTGGATTTAATGGCAAAGCGCATAGCCTGAGTTCCGGTTCAACTGTAGTTGAACTTTCTGGTGAAGGCGCATAGCCTGTCTTGGTTCAACCGTAGTTGAACTTTCTTGGTTCGTGGGTTTTTGGGAGCTGAAGCTCGGTTTTGATTCGAGATCTTGAGCAACTTAATCGTTATCTTCCCAACCGGGGTATGTAGGCTGTCTCGAAGCGATTCTCGATTCGAGATTCCTCCGTGCTGGTTTCCGGCTGGAGCCCTTATCAGGGATGTGGGAGATCTCTNGTACGAAGTCGTAGTACGGAGTACGTCGTACGTACGACGTAGCCGGAGGGGGGGGGGGGGGGGAGCTGCTTCTTCTTGTTTGTACCATCCGATAGATGAGAAACAAAGGAACTGGATCCCGATTCGAGATCTTCGAGTTCCATCGGCCTGATATGCCGCTTTGGCTTGTTTATGCGTGGCTGCTTCTTCACCACTATAGATAGGAGAGAGAAGGAAAAAATATACCCATCTTATGGGAAGAGAAAACACCATTGTAAGTCATTCAATTATGTGGTTATATGAAAGTCCTTTCATTCTTCAGAGTCATAATCAAACTATTCTATATTGACTGTTACAACATTGCAACTTCATAATTGAAAGAAACAGTACACTTATAATACTAAATTTGTGCAGAATTTACGCTTATGCACAATTGTTTTTTGCTTTAAACATAAATGCACTCACTCCGTTGAGAGGATGCTGATGTTCTGCTGTGCAAATTCGCACCTTCTTTGTGCAGTGATTAGTGAAATACCATCTTGTCAAAAGGAAAAAAAATGTCAATGTAAACCATCATTCTTTATATGGACTTTGGATCAAATTACTAATTCTGTTTTACACCCGCATAAGCTGAGCTAAAGAGTACCACAATACTAACCAATAATACTACTAATAAGAATGACTAATGCAGGTGAACAAGTATGATGATGCTTGGAAAAAGCAATGGTACGGAGCGGGACTATTCTACGAGGGCGGAGAACAAGTGGAAGTTGATGTGTTCAAAAAACTGGAGAAGCGAAAAGTTTTGAGCACTGTGGAGAAAGCTGGGCTTCTATCAAAGGCTGAAGAACTAGGCTTTACGCTGTCCTCCATAGAGAGGTTAGGAGTATTTTCAAAGGCCGAAGAACTGGGGCTGCTCAGTTTGCTGGAGAAGGCAGCGAGTTTCTCGCCTTCTGCTCTGGCATCGGCGGCGCTCCCTATTTTAGTGGCGGCTATACTAGCAATCGTGTTGATACCTGATGATTCCGCGGGTCTTGTGGCGGTCCAGGCCGTTTTGGCTGGAGCACTCGGGTTGGGAGCTGTCGGGTTGTTAGTTGGGTCAGTTGTTTTGGATGGGTTGCAGGAGGCTGATTGACCATCGTGTATATCCAACCTCACTTGAAAACTACCCAAAAAACGGAAAAGAAAGGAACCAATTCCTGAAAACGTCAAATAAAAGGGATATTTTTATGCTTCTTACTTTTTAGCTGTGACTGTGAGATTCATATCGTCTGTGTCAATTTATTTGGAATTTTGGTGTAGTTATTGTTGCTGTACGTTCTAGCTGTTACATGCCTTACTTGACATTAGATTTGTGTTGAAACTTGAAACTAAACCAATTCTTAAGGTTACGCTCTTGAATAATTTTTGTAGTTATTGTATGTGAAGCAGTATAATTAATCAAATCCTTGTTCCTGCACGACTCTGAAACATTAGTACAAATTTCTGAATTTACTAAAAATTGATTTTGGCTTGCTTTGTTTATGAACTAAACAGGCTAAAACCCACCACAAGCTACGTACAAAACGTAATAGGCGAAATAACTTCGGTGGAGTTGAAGGAAGAAAAAAAATTTCGGGGGAGAAGAATTAACGCACGTCAGTGCAGAAAAAAAGGAAAAAGTAATGATTCTACGGAGATGCGGGGTATCGATCCCCGTACCTCCATGCTAAGCGAGCGCTCTACCATCTGAGCTACATCCCCATGGTGTTGCTATTCGCAACCACTTGCAAAATAAACTTGTCAGAAAGTTTCCCTCTTCGCCTCCTTTGTTATCGTCCATATACCCGAACCCAAGGTGTACGCATGGGTGCAGCGTGCGCAGGTAGATTGATCTTTCATGAACTTGGCTTCGATTCTAATGAACTAATGATGCGTTAAAGCATTTGATGTACTTTTAAGTACTCATAACTGTGCAAATTTTGTGTTCCAAATTGCTTTCCATGCGTATGTTGAATGTCTCGGTGATTCTCATGGTCAAAGTTCCCCGGGCATGAGGACTGGGTTCTATATGTAGCATCTATTCAAGCTTCAAAGTAGTGCGGCATAATGACCGCAAGGTAAACCAAGCAATAGACAATGATTGAAAAGATGGTGATTTTCTGCTATTGTTGTTACTGAACATTTAATTTGGTTAGACATTCTAAAGCTTTACTGCTTTTTCATAAGGTTAATCCTAAAATTTTCTGCGATTTGCTTTCAATTCTATGCAAATAGCCTCTCGTCTAGTTCCAGCTCTCTGAGTGCCAAATTTTTTGAAGTTCTCTGTGTTTTTCTTAGCATTAGTAGTTTAATCCAATGCATGGTATTGGTGCAACCCATCTACCTTTGAATTTTCATTGTCATGTCTCTATAACAGAGGCGGAGGCAGGATTTAAAGTTTATGGGTTCTGCATTTGCAATCGAACCCATAGCTCGTTAGTTACTGGGTTCGCAATTAAGTATTTATACATATTTAATAGATTTTCTAATATAAATACATTGTCTAAACAAAAAGCTACTGGGTTCGTTGGAACCCGTAGGTAACACTCTCCCTCCGCCCCAGTCTCTATTAGATGTAAACACATCGTAGCGCTAACTAATTCAGAGGTTTTTATATGGCAATAGCTACTCTGTTATAATGGAAGTATTTGTGCTAATTGCTAAATATCAAGGTGCAAATAAAAAAAATAGTGTAATAGCATTCAATTAGTGATACAGCGAATTTGGTATTTGCAAAGCAATCACAACATCTAAAGGCCACGACTGCTCCAACTTTTAGAAAGTAATGCTATTGACAATTATCTCTGCTAAGATCCCTCCCCTCTTACCCTCTTCTTATTTTTGGCATTTGAAGAACACTGAACACCTACAGCTGGGCTTCTGACGGTGTGTTGTCATTTTTGTCTCTCTGGTCATCAGGCTCTGTTGATCTGTACTTGTAGCGAGTAGCCCAGAGGAGATAATGTAGGAAATTTAATCCACTTAATATGCACATCAACCAATAAAACCTTTCAAGGTGATAATGATTCAAATTACTCCCGTAGAGCCATGGCGTTCGCTGAAACCTACCAGTTATATGGTTTACTATTGATACGATCACTGAACTGAGGTAATAACCCATGGCTAGTGATGCCCAAGAGACTGCTGTTGCCAATGACCTCATGCTTAAGGGGGCCTCCGTGAAGAAAAACTCCATCAAGCCAGCCAAGCTGAAGAGATCAGCTGATCCCAGGAACAGATATTGCAATGCTACCCAAAGAAATGTGATAGGAAGTGGTTCGGTTGAATTCATTAAGCCAGATTGCGCTGCCACTCTCTTCCGCTTCATCTCCACTAGAGCTGCAACAGCCATGGCTACAATTGATAGGAATAGCCCGGTTCCGATTCTCTGTAGATGAGTAATGCCCATTTCACTCTTAGTTGCTGCCCTGGCGAAGGGGATTATAATATGATTATATACTGGTGCCAGTATCATGGTGAATATGACTGGAAATATTGGAAGAGAAGCTGGTGGAACTTTTAGAGCACCAATATATGTGTTCATGGTGGCTGCTTGTTGTATAGAAAATGTTGAAAGCTGAGCCAAGCAACAGTTCAGCATAACAGTTGACATAAATATTGGCAAGATCTTGACGACTATTTTCACCTCTTCTACTTGTTTGACTGTGCAGTGAAGTGATGGGTAGGCTGCCTTGTCCATTGTTGATTTATCGATGAACTTCTGGTCATTCATTTCAGTCTGAATTTCTTCCTTCCATTCCCCATGTCCTTCTTCTTCCTGACTTATTTCAGTTGTGTTTTGGGGGGATTTTCTCGTGTCTAACACATTACTGATAGAATTCTTAGGAAAAAGAGAGTTGCAAAATGCTGCTACTAGAACCTGTTGAAACAATTCAATGAAAAGTACTCTATTTTAGCATGTTGGTACAGGGTGCAGGCAACTAGAAGTCTAGAGCATACCTTAAAAATGGTTGTAAATGGGCTTCCTTTGGGAACTTTTATCCTGTAAGTCCCAGATCCTAGGAGGAAAATGGCAATTGAGCTCAATATTGCTACGGTTGAGATACCAAAGCCCCACTGCCAGCCTTTATTATCTTCTACCCATACTACTAATGTCACTGCAATCAATGCTCCACAAGAGAGGCAGAAGATGTAATAATTGAAGAAGGTAGATCTGTGCTTCCTTCCTTGTGGCGAATTCTCATCGAATTGCTCCGCTCCATGTGCAGGAAGTGAACCTTTTATCCCTCCAACACCCAAGGCCACCAGGTAGAGGCCACCAAATAACATTGCTGCTTGGCCACGACCAGCTTCATTACATGAGGTGTTTCTGTTTACGGATGCACAGATAGACGGCCTCAGGGAAGGTATGCGAGCTTGAAATGTGAGCATCAATAGTCCCTGTTACAATAGTTTTGATTATTAACAATCCATGTGACATAACGTCCTGCTATATGTCTGATGTTATCATCTTCTGAGTGGTTATCTTTCATGTCTCCAAAAGGAGGAAGGCTATGTGTCGTGTTTTCTTTACCATGCTAACTAAGAACTAGAGAAGCAGAATGTTTGTCATCATGTTAGGAAGAATAGGTACTTGCTTTTGAGAACCATACAGTTGTCCCTGCAAAATTATTATGTACATACACAATGCCCCATCTTTTTCTGGGTCAGAGAAAAGCCATGGACAGTTCTTTATACGTCTTGATCACTTGATAATTTTACCTGGTGAAGTTGAATGAAACGGACTTTGGTCAGGTGCTCAATACCTATCTTAAGTTGTGCTTTTTGTTACTGTATTTCTGTATATTGAACTTTCATTATTTCTCCATGAAAGCTAAAGCAACATTTTATTACCAGTATGTCTTTTTCATTTTAAAATAACCTTGAGCTGCACCAATTTCTGTACCATCGGTCATCAATGGGATGATTGTGCCGGGTCCCATTTTTCTCATTCCTGATATCTAATTGGAGAACGAATTCAAGACATGTGAAGTTTGATGTACAAACATTTGTTCTTCTGTAAATAATCTTTGTTTCTACTATGCTACTGACCACAGGTTATTAAATGGCATGAATAGAAATATAAATGATGTGGGGTAGGTAAAGTAATGAAGTGAGTCTTATGCTTGCTACTATTGTGAGTGTGTGTTTGCTAGTATTCTTAGTGTATTCATGACAATAATTGAGTGTGGCATTACTGATTCTTCCACAGAAGACCTCATACATCCTTATAACACTATCTTATGGACTAACCGGTAACTGCATTGAATTCTGCTATCTCAAATGCAGACCTAAAAGAGCCGACTGTTTTTCTCATATTGCTGCAATGGTAAAAGGATGCATGCCTGCTAATGATATCCTATTCCTTTTGTCCAATTTCCTGTGATTGTTAAAGGTCCAGATTGGCAGGTGTAGGAAGGTGTACTCTATCTGCTTATGCTTTTGGATAGTAGCAGACTATACAATGCTAGTCCGTTCTTTTCCTTCTTTGGGCTCGGGTCGATAGTAGCCGTGGTAGTAATGCCCCGGAGCCCGGGAAAACATTGATCTCAAAGAGATTCAATGAATGTTATCTGGTTAGTGCATGTTATTGAACAAAGATAATCTCAAAGACACAGATTACTTACCATAAATTCAATTGCCGCACTAATCAGATAGATGTAATAGGTGGTGAGGCAAGCATCAGATAAGAACCCGCCAAGTAGACCGAGAAGGAAGGAAGTTCCCATAAAGTTGGTAACTATGTTGGCTGAAGCAGATGGAGAAAAATTCATAATTTTCGATAGATAAAGGACTAGATTGCTCGCATTTGCCAGGTATGCTAAGTTCTCCAAAATCTCCACCACTACGTCCACAATTGAAAAAATTCAGATTGTCAGTTGTTACAATCTATATTTTACTATTAATAGATAAATTTAGCCAGCTTATAATTACTAATTCATGAAGTTCATTGCTTTAGCATTAGAAGCTAGCTTAGTGTATGGGGTTCAAATTGTAATGAAAGCAACATGTGCATGAGGAGAGGTGGTTTACTGACCCAACACAAAAGAGGCGGCAACCACACCTCCATGACATCCTGTCATGGCTGGCCTGTTTCTCCAGTCCACGTAACCTTCCCACATGGTCAATGTCTTTGCATGATCCTGCAGCATAGTGCACACAAATTAAGTAAAGATTTGCTGGAGGGAATATAAAGAAGAAGAGATGAGAGCGGGAATGTGCACCATCTCTCTCTTTCTCTCTCTCTCTGATGTTTCTGGGATCTTGATGTAGAAGTCCCTAGTGGAAAGTCGTCCAGTACAACAAGGAAGTTGTGCCAGTGTCACCTTTAAATACTGGAAGGATGGGGATGTCAAATTGTGTAGAAAAATCTGGAATCTCTGAATGTGACCCTGCACTTAGTAATATCTTTTTGCTTAACGTATGGTAAAACCTCATATATTTGTGTGTACATGCTTCTTGGTACATAATTGCGTGTCTCCGTATGTGGGGGGGAAGAAGTGGTGAGCTTGCACATAACTATTTTCAGAATGGTACACGAGTATTAGTAACATAGTTTACGTGGAATAATTTCATCTTTATATTAACTTGAGCTGCTTGGTTCATTTTAGTTTTTTTAACTGTAGACGTTTTGGTTTTCGAGTATTTGTGTGTCTCGTCATATTTCTTCCTTCTATCACAAAGTGCTATATGTTCTGTGCAGCATGTGATGTAATACTTTTCTAAGGGTGAAAGGAATCCAATAAATTGAAATCATCTGATGAAATAGATCTCACTTTCAAGCATTTTGAGAAGGTAAATAAAATTCATGATGGCTGCTGTACTCCTTTAGTTTTATCTTCAGCTTCATCTCACCCCTATCCCACTCCACCTTCTCTTTTCTTAATCAAAACTCAGAGTTACATCTTCCCCTCCCTCTGCTTTGATCTTCTTCCAGATAGAGTCCATTCCCTGGTACATGTTAAGTTACCTTGAGTCACAGGGCTCTGTTTGAAATATAAGCTTCAATTAGCATTCCTTAACCTTTTTCTTTTTGTGTCTTTGTGAGTACAACACTGAGGTTGGAATCCTGAGGGACATGAAACGGGAGAAGAGAGGAGGGTTCAGGTGGAAGGTGATGAACTGAACAACTATGTTAAACTTCACCTCCGGCTTGTATGATGAATTACTATAGTTTGAACATTCGTATAATGGATGGTCATCTCATTTTGTTTGATAATATTCTCTATTCGATTTTCTTTGTATCTCGTGACATAATCTATTAGAATTGCTATATCTCTGTCTTGATGCGCTTTGGTAAAATGAGATTATTCATTGTATTCATTCTCTATAAAGAGCAGTCAGTTTCTACTTCACGTGGTGCTTGTCCTTGGCAGTATCTGTAGAGGGTTTTCAACTTTGCCATTGCATCTTCTTGGTACTTGAGTTCTCGCATTAATTTCAGCTTATCATCTGAGTGGAACTCATGTCTTCACTCTGCAAGTTTCCATGTGGACCCTCTGATTATGGGAATCATACTCCTAAAGGTCTCAAAATTGAGTGGCTAGAAGTCCTTAGGGTCATAGCCATTTAGCATGTGATTCCTTCTAATGTCCTGTCGCAGTCTGTTGTCTAAGCAAGCAATTTCAGATAGAACGACATGAAGTAAGAAAACCTGACAGTATTAGCTTGTCCACAAAAAATTAATATATTTTACTTCTACTCATGCGAGTGGTTTCAAGTTGTAGTGGGTAGCCTTTTCAATTATGTAGTGGCAGAGAAATTGTAACTTTTTTATCCCCTTACAGATTATAGATATATGCTTTGGATTAATCATGACATTATCATAATTTTTCTTTTCAAAATGGAATTTTTGAAATTGACAAACGAACCTTCTTCCAAATTGTGTACCCCGTGATTTCAGAGTTTGTTTTTTGATAAAGAGATGGTATTCCATAAGCTTTATTTGTTTCTCTGTTATTATATAGGCCAAGATAAGATAAGTTATCTGAACTTTGCTGATCCAATAGTTTCTAAATATTTCCAGGATATTTAATATGCTTGGACATTAGAAAAAATTCCACCATCATATCGCATATATGTTGTTGCAAGCAATGATGATATACCAAGATACATCCCTGATTCCCTTTTCCGGTTTTATTTTTAAGATCAACATTGCACGTGCTTTTCCAAATTTTATGTTGTGTGCTTTGAGCACTGGGTTCTTTTCTAAGTCAGACCTGTAAGAACATTTTAACTTCAGTACACCTGAATGTTTTTGCATTCCCATGACATAAGTTTGATAGTAAACGGGTAATGATTTGATAGAAGTGGTGTTAATTTTTGGCCATCAAACTGAAAGGTTACAATTATAGATGCTGGTTTCATGACGTGCATTGGAAAGTAAGAAGGGATTATTGGTTCCTATATATGGTATGTTGAGACGTCAAGAAGAATTGAAATCTTTGACATTACTGTTAAGTTTCGCAATTATGTTTTCCTCTCTTGTTTTTTGTTTTTTTGGATTCTCCCTTCGTTAGTTGTTCTTTTTTTTCTTTCTTTGTTCTTTGTTATAATCTCCTATAAATATGTGGGCAAGTTCATCATTATTTGAAGTCAAATATTTTGCAAAACTTTATGCCGATGCTCATCCACCCTTGCTTTAGTTTGGCGGACTTCGGATGTTCTACATCCTTCTTATGCTCAACTGAAGGAGCTAGAAAGCCATCATTTAAGACATGTCTGGTTATGCCAAGTCGACAATGCATCCAAGTGTTTGGACTCTGGATTCTTATCCATAGTCTCAGGTTATGGCAAGCTGATCATGTTGCAACTAACTTTTAGGCCCATAAAATAGTTAATATAGTAAATATGTTCGATGGTTGCTAATGATATGCCTATTGGGACCTTACCAAGCAGTTTGTGCTCAATTTTGAAAGCTCCTATTGTGACAGGGATGCCTTAGTCAAGAAATTGGTGAATTGGGTCAAAAATGTCCTCCTCATTCCTTTCTGTGGCTCAGACTTTTTAGTGGTTCCGCAGTATATTTATCTGTACAAACTGCGCAGAAGTGCATCTTTTTTTTTCTCCTTCAGATTATTGCATTGCTTTCTGCTTTTTGAATCCTTAAATTGTTTACTTCATTATCTTGGGAAATTCGAGATGAAGAGCCAGTAGCCACATAGTTTTTAACATTACTCTCCTGTGCCTATCATTTTTGTCTTAGAGTCCCTGTATCTGTCCTCTGGAGAGAGCCGGTGGATGGGAGTGGGATGTGAAGTGGATATAAGTATTCCTATTTCTGGACAGAGATAGGAAGTTTTTGTTAGGAAAAGGACCTGGACAGGAAAAGGCTTACCTGATTGGTTGCTTGGTCTCAGGAGTCAGGGGTCACATGTTCCCTTTTCCTTCTGAAAGAGGGAACTCCAGTGGACCGTGGTGCTATCCTGAAACCTAATTAGACCGCTTGAATGTCCTATCTGGATGATGCCAGATGCATTTGATAAACAAAACGAAAACAAGACTAATTCAGTTTATAGCTACACCACGGTCTAAAATATTAGGACCTTGGTGTAAATGTCTGCAAATGATTCATATAGTAAAAAAAAAAAGTTCAGCAAAAATAGTTCTGAAACACTAAGGTTTTGAGGAAATACATCTGTTGCAATTGATATGCCTAGCATATGCAAGTTTGACACCGTTAGCTAAGTTGTGATAATTCTTTTTTCCTTACTGGCTGGAGAGACGTAGTAACCGGCAACTCTTTGCTGAGTTAACATACAAATGAGTTAAACTTGAGACAAGCTACCTGTCAACCTGTTTATTCTTACCCTTGTTGTATGACTATTTGTTGAGTTATCTCTAGCTGACATTCTTTAAGAATGTTCTTGACCTTTCTTGAAAGGTGTTTTGGTATAATTAGGAAACAGTCAAACCATTCTACAGACAGGAAAGTACTACAAAGAGCTTAGATGTTAGTATAATGACATAGAAAGTGTAAACTCTCAAATTAGTTCACATGACTATGTTATACTTTGTTTGGAATGTTGGTAGGTAAGTGTTCATATCAGGCACTTGGGCGCTTAATTTTGTTAGATGAGTGCAGTGTTTATCCGAAGTTGAAAAGACACTCGTTCAGGAATCTGGTTGGTAGATATCTTACTATCCCTGGTACACTCATTTATAGTTTAAAGGACCTTTTTTTACCTTCATGAGAGGCAAAGTGCTAGTAATTTATTCGACCGACAGTGGTACCGCCAATTTTTTTGGGGGGTCTCAACCACCGACTAACTGATTTTTGGATTGTCTTTTAGCACTATAGAGTAGTATTAACTATCTCGGTTTATACTATTCTTAATTCAATTTTTTTGCTTTTTGTTGTCAACTTGAGTATATTGAAGCTCAAGTTTCTAAAACTCCAATATGGATATTGAACTGTTTAGTGTTTAATCTAAATGGTCCTTGAAGCATTTCACTTGGTCCCTGTAATATGCTGGTGACCAAAATGCACCTGTTGTTGTAATCGTTTTGATCTAACAGCTAAAAGCCGTTTGCTAATAAACAGAGAAACCTAGTAATTATCAGCACCAACCGAAGAGCTAGCTGAAGAAGTTTAAGCAATGAGAATCAAATGAAGTCAAATACGGAGTATAAGATAATGAAGAAGGCGGAGGCTGACAGTCTTTGATGTAAAGTTCACAAATCACAATGTGAAATTAACCCTTAGTAATACACTTGGGATACAGAGTAGTTCCTGAGCAAACACTTGGCTTTGTGATCATTGATATAAGGAAGAAAAACAAAGGTCTTACAGTTGAGCATATAATTGAAAGGTTGCAGAATGCATATAATTGAAATCAGGAAAAAGTTGTGCATAAAGCAGAATAGCTTATCCTATCACTAGTTTATGTTTTTGTTTCCTCTTCTAGACTCACACGTCCTTTAGTCAAGTTCTTCCGTCTTTTTTCTCTTTCACATTGTTTGGCTGGAGTTTATGTATGAGCTTATTAACATCTTAAAGGGCCACTAATTGAGGTTTGTTCCATAATTTTTATAAGTGTAAATGGTTTTATTAAAGAGCATGTTCTTCTAGGAATTAAAGATCTGAAATTGATCCATTTCTTATTCCAAAGAAAGAGAGAAGTCTTCTTAACAAGCCTGGTTTCTGATTTCTCTATTTGGTTCTCTTGAACAAATTTTTCAATTGGGCTTGAAAATGTCCAAAGCATATTCGTTTTATGAAATAATAAATCTAACACTAAAAAAGTTGGTGACATATATATGATTTAGTACTTAGTAATTATGTAAAAATGAACTGTTTTTTTAATCCGAACACCACAAAGATAACTCGCTCTCTCACTTTCTCCTTATGGTTTGCTGAACTGCTCCTTTCGTCAAAACACATGATTAAAGAAGAAGGGATGTATAGAAAGAGAGTTGGTAGGTTTTCCATTACCTGTTTATGATCACTATTTTCTTTTTGTAAGTAGAACTAGTATACATACCCGCGCGATGCGCGGATTGTTTCAAAGGAAAAAAAATGATATAGTAGAAACAGGTCTTTATTGTAGACTAAATTTAGCGATCACATTCAAAAGAATTAAATCAGAAAATAAATATATGAATTTCATAGGATTGTATCTATGCTAGGGACCACCGATATTTATGCACAGAAACATGATTAGCAGAGAAGGTTGGGTAACTGTGATAAGCCAAAAGCTAAAGTAGATTTCCCGAAATTCACTTCCAGTTCATATACTCATCGTCCATAATTGAGCTCAATATCGCACATTTCAGTTGACTTCACGATAAGTGATAGCTCTTTTTTACATAGCAGTATTCATGAAGGATGCATGCTCAAGTTAAAGGCATCATATAAAGGACTGGCATGGTCTATGTTTTAGGCAAACTTTTAACTACAAAAACCTACATGCAGGGGTAGACCTAGTGCATAGACTACGGGTTCCGGGAACCCAGTAACTCTTGCATAGACCCTGTATTTATATTAAGAAATTCACTAAATATTGGTAAATATCTGACTGTGAACCCAGTTATTATTGCATATCAATATGAAATTACGGTAGGAACCCATAAGCCTCAAATCCTGGATCCGCCTCTGCCTACATGTATACTTGTTGTAATTGTCCGGAACCGCTCCTGGCCAGCAGTATCCCAAATTTGCAGTTTGATTCATTTGCCATCAAGTTCTATGGTCCTTATGTTGAAATCAATACTGTGAAAGAAATTTTTTGCATTGGAATAAATTGGCAAAAAAAGAAAAGGAAAACATCTAAACA